CCTTCTCCATGGCTTACAGGGTGCTCAGCACAGTTCTCCACCTTTAGAGAAAAAACACCTGCAGTCCTTGACCTCTTCTACACAAACTTACATTCCTGCATGAAATGTGAATGTTTTTATTCTCTACAGCTTTCTGTGAGCTTGATTGTTAAACACTCTTTGTGTGTATTCTTTGCATTCCCTTTGACTTGCTGGAGCTATTGATGGAAAATGTATTTTGAATAAACCTTTCTGTTAACTTTGTGTCCGTGTAATTACTTCTCAAGGTGATGGAACAGGTGATAAAACTCTGTGCCGCTGTGAATGACTTTAAAATTTTCTAAAGTGCAAGTGTGTCTGTAAAAGAAGGTCATCCATGTAAAATGAGTAAAATACCTCATGTTACTTTAAACATAACAGCACGTCCTATACAATGTTCAGATATGAATTTAACTTGGTTGGAATGTGCAAGTATCAGTCAATCTGTCTTTTGGCAATAAGAGTAAAAGTGCACTGTGTCATTCCAGTTCAGGGCTCCTCCCACAGATTACACAAGCTCAGGATGAATTACAGGCATTTATCGCCAACTGATCTTTGGACTTGTCTTTGCTGATCACGGTGACTCTGCAAAAACAAGGTAAGATCCACACACTGCATCCTGCACTACATAAACTCTTAACTGCACACCTCATAATTTTCTAGCCTTTGCTAAGAGAAATATATGTATGTTATTGTATTTATAGTTAGGAATTTATTTATTTATTGATATCTTTTGTAACATTATTCAACTTTACATGTTCATGAAACAACTTTGAAATTTGTTCTACTTCATGTTGGTCAATGACAACTGAAATGTCTGGTGCTCTGTTCCACTGAGGGAACTATGGTTCATTTTAGCTTTATCTACTATGTTGTGCTGGTCCCTGTTCCTCTTTCTAATGAAACAGGATTTGCAGGGTGCAGGACACACTTTAATTCAAATTGTGCTTTAGTATTGCATATTTTGAAATACCAAAAACCAAGTCAAACAAACTGATCTGTGGTGGACTTTTGGGGCCATTTTGCCCAGGTGGTCTTCCAGTCTTGCCTCGCTATGAGCCCGTGTCGACCCACGTCCTCCTCAGTGACCATTTTTAGCTAGTGTGTCAGACTGGAGGCAAACAAAGAAAGACACAAAGCGTGACGAAGGAAAGTGATGACGCATTAAACACATAGAAAATATGAACATGTACGACGTGCTGTGGGTTAATGTTGCTCAGCAGATCACAGGTCAGCTTCCTTTGCTATAAGCTTTGTACAGTACGCTGTAATTGACAGGCTGTAATGTTTGACATGAAGATGTTCTGACGTCTAAAGTGTAGAAGCATTAAATATATATTCCTGTTGTTCCACAGTGATTTCTCACAGGGATGATATCACCACTGAAGAGTATGATGGACAGCCAGGTCCTCCAATCATTTGCTACTTATGCCACTATTGTCGTCCTGAAGATGATGCTCATGTCACCTTTGACCTCTTACTTCCGCCTCACAAGAAAGGTGCTTTTTTTCACCTAACTGCCCTATAACAGTATACAGTGTAGTTTCATTCATAAAGACAGACAGTGTGAGGGAGCCTGTGATCTGACCCGCTCTTTAACGTCTCTTCAGGTGTTTGCGAACCTGGAAGACACCAAGTTTGTTTCGTCAGCTGAGGACAAGAAACTGGTCCGCACAGATCCTGATGTGGAGAGAGTCCGCAGGTACGAACAACACCTGATGTCCCGAGAATAGTGACATTTAACAAGAGCTACTCGCAAACGAACAAACAAGCTGTCTGTGTGCTGGTACTGTTTCTGTATGGTAAATTGTTTCTTCTTAGTTTCTTACTTCAAGTATGATTTCAGTCTCCAATTTTTAAATGAATCCACAAAACATTAAGTTAATTAAAAACACAAAGTCCCATTCAAACCCAGGACAAGACAAATAATAACACAAGTATTCACTTTGGATGAAAGCGTCTGCCAAATGACTAAATGTAATGTAATGTAAATTACTCATGACCATGGACACTTATGAATCTCTTACCATAATGCAGTGGTTTCCAAACATGGGGGTTGGGACCTCCCAAGAAGTCGCAAGATTAATCTTAGGGGTCATGAGAGGAAGGTGAAGAAGTACTTAATATTTTTAGCTCTTCAGGAAACTAAAAATTATCCAAATTCTTTGGTGTCCGTCTGTAGACTGCTGGTTAAATCTAAAATACAGGATAACACATGCAAGCTGGTGGACGGAGCAGTGAAAGAAAACAGAACAGGCATGATGATGCACAAATATGATTGGATGACATTAGACAACACAGCTATGAATGAGCCAATCATTGTGAAGCATACTTACACTATGCTTCGTATGTGTTGTCGTTGCGGTCCAGGTGTCACCAGAACGACCTGGAGAACGTTATTCCCTTCGTGGTGGTCGGCCTGCTCTACGCCCTGACTGAACCTGAGCTTTCAACCGCTCTGCTTCACTTC